GGGAGCCCGATGCGGGGCTCGATCCCAGGACCCTGGGATCATGACCTGAGCCGAAGACAGACGCTTAACAGACTGAGCCACCCAGGCACCCCTAAAATGTCCATTTTAAACGGAAAAAAAAAAAAATGCAAGGCACACCAAGAAACCAGCGTGACTGACACAGAGGGAAAAAGTAGTCAATAGACCCTATCTCTGAGAGGGTCCAGATGTTGGACTTCAAAGCAGCTGTTAGTAATATGTTAGAACTACAGGAAACAGCGTTTAGAGAATCAAAGGCAAGTCATGAAAAGAAGATCTTATTGAAGAGACACGAATTATAGAACTCAACGTACATTCTGGACTTGGAAGCTCTCTTTGGTCCCGTGGGCTCCCACAGTGCCCCGGGCTTCCCAGGCCACGACACAGACCTCTGTGTGGCACGAGCCCGGTTCTGTGACTATCTCCCCGACCCCGCCTCGGCTGTAGGCAGGGAAGGGAGCGAGCTGCTTGCTCCCTGCATGGCAAGGGCACCCAGCAGGGCCAAGAGCCTGATCTGGAGATCAGAGGGTGTGGCGACTGGGCAGGTCCGAATTTTCCTCTGCCTGGGCCTCAGTGTCCTCCCCTGTGAAATTGACCCTATGGGATGTGGGGACGGGAGGAGGACGGGGCCCCTAAGGCATCGGCGACCCCGCAGGGAGCCTGGAATGAGTCCACCAGAAGGCAAGGCCGTGAGCTTTGTGGTCTGTTTAATTTATTACTGTTTGACATCCAGTGACACTGACATACCCCCGCCGGGCCTGTGGCCCCCGGCCCCAGCGGGTCTGACCTGTCCCGCAGAATACAGTACGAGGGGTGGACGGCTACACGCGTGCACCCACGGCTGAAACTACAGTGACTCCCAACTGCGGCCGCAACGGTACTGCCGGGAAAGGAGACAACCGGGTGTCGCGTGTTCCCCGAGTCCTAATTCTTGTTTTCAACAGTTAATGCTGTTACAAACGCTACTGACGCCAGGACAGGGCCAGACACAAACAGTCCTACATCTCCTCTGCTGTATAAATATGGAAGCTTTTCGTTTATACAGTTTTTACCCCCAGGCTGAAACTACATCTGCTGCTACCCGTTACTGCTAAGGGCTACGCCGCCTCGGCTCTGGAACCAGGGGCCCGGGGTCGAGACTCTGGAATGTTGGGACTCAGTCTTCCTCGCTGCCACTTCCTGAGCGGTCCTGGAGGGGGACAGGAGGAGAGAGCATGGTCAGCCCCACCGTCGAGGGCCCCCCACTGGGGCCTACCCGGGCGCTGAGCATGTTGGCCGGCTGAACTGCCCTCACTGGGGGTGAGCGGGCAGCAGGGGGGCACCGTGAGCCAAACCCCAATGTCGTTCTTCTCCCAGGGCCTGGCCCCTGCGCCCACACGGACTCTTCCTTGGACCTGGAAGACTCACTGGGCCCTCCCTGCTTCCTCCCACCACGGCGTGCCTGGCCCTGTGCCCCTGACCTGCGGCTTCAAAACCACCATGGCTATTCCTGACTATGTAGGATGTTTGTTCTTCCGCACAAACGTTTTAAACAGCTTGGCCAGGGCCACAAAACGCTCTGCTGCATCCGGACTGGGCAGATGGGGAGCTTTACAGCCTAGACGCTCCTCTCTGTAACACAGGCCACCCCGTTGGCCAGGACATCATTAATGTCCTCATCAGGTTATCATGTGTACAGTCAGGTTTGTTCCGAAGCGCCAGATTTTGCTATTACTGCAACTGGCTGCATGAGAAAAACAGCAACCCTGAGATGGCACTCAATGGGTTCTGCCAGGAGCCAGGCCCCAGGAAATCCACTGGGCCTCCCTGTTTTCTAGAAGTGGAAACTGAGGCTCAGAGGTTAAGTCAACTGCCCAGCTCCCGCAGCAGGGAAGGGCCGGGCACGCAGGCCCCAGCCAGAGGGCAAAGCTTCTTTCAATGCGGCAAGCAGGTCTGCTACCGCCCCCGATGCCCACCGTGGGCCTGATGCTCCTGCAGTTCCTCCCCGTGCACCAGGATGGCAGCCTGCTCTGGGGGACAGGCGACATCCAGACACCACTCACGGCACCATTCACGGGATCTGTTCTGCACCGTTTCGCTGATTTCAGGTTGCGGGATTTTGGTTTTTGTGTTTATCCACCACCATTGTTTGGAAATCCTCCTAGAGGGGGCTGTGTCTGCTCAGGGGTGACCGATGGGGGACTGTCTGGTGGCATCTTCCATCCCGCTGCCTCCTGACCCCACCCTCGATATAGACCCAGTCCCACTGGCCTCAGGGCACTGGTTCCACAGGGCCACACAGACCTGGTCTGGAGTTATGCCGTGTACAACCCTGAGCCTCAGTTTCCCTATCTGTGGAGTGGGGCGTTAAGAGCACCGACCCTCCCCACGCCATGACAGAAGGGTCCAAGACCTGGCATGGGGACAGAGCTCCAAAGACCCAAGTGCCACCGGCCACCTGCTCCTGCCCATGCCGGGGCCCTGGGGGCTCACCTCCTCCTGCTCCTCTTCACTATCATCATCGCTGACCACCGGCTTGGCCCGCGAACCGCGGCTCGGCCGCCGCCGGCCCCCCTTCAGCCGATCCTGTGCCTTCTCCTTCCGGCCCAGCTTGATCTTCACTTTGACCGAGCGGGCTGGGGTAGGGACCAGAAAGTGGGGGAAAAAGGAAGAAAGACGTGAGCTTGGGAGAGCATGGCAAGCCGGGTCAGGGGCGGCTGGGAGCTGCCTGGCTGTGATGTTGGTCTGCCCAACCACCCACCGTTGGGACTCACACTCAGACTCAGAGCCTTCCTCCTCGCCCTCCTCTTCTTCCTCGCTCTCCTCGCCCTCACTGTCATCTTCTTTCTCTATTTTCTGCCGCACGCTGGTGAAAACTGACTGCAGGACGATGGAGTCTTCATAGATCTGGAAGGAGACACGTGGGGTTTGAGTGGGCTGGGGCCTGATGGGGGCCATTGGCCCTGCCCTCTGGCAGGACAGCCTGTGCAGGGCAGAGGGCCCTCAGTAACCCTTTCCCAATCAGGGCCTGAGAGAACATGAGACCCGGAGAAAAGTGTGGATGCGTTAGTTTAGGAACGACTACAAGTTCCTCCCTTCCTCTAAAGAATCCCAGTGAGCACAGGCTTTTAAGGGCTCTGAGAAGGTCTGCAGTATTGCTGGCAATGCATGTCCCTTGTTTAAGGCAGCATTTCCCCCAAATTTAGGACTGTAAAATCTTTTTTCCACGAGAATCAATCCTAAGTACACTCAGGAAAAGTTTGCTAAGTTGACGTTGTGTGTGTGTGTGTGTGTTAATTTCACTGCAGGAAAGGACACATCCACACGATTCCTTTCGAGAAGTCCCTAGTGAATTCAAAGTAAAACTCCAACATATATACTGGATTGCTCACTGAGTCATCCTGGATGGATCAGACTGAGTTTATTTCCTCTAATCTTTTTTTTTTTTCCTGCCTCTTTTAGTAAGGAATACATTGCTTTTATAGGTGACAAAATATTCTAAGTGGTTGGGAATTCTTTTTTATCAATCTGTTGTAGCATCCACGCCGGCGTGAAGCCCAATGCAGGGCTTGAACTCATGACCCTGAGATCGAGCCCCACGTTGGGCTCCCTGCTCAGTGGGGAGTCTGCTTCTCCTTCTCCCCCTGCTTGTGCTCTCTCAAATGAATAAATAAAATCTAAAAAAAAAAGACCTGAGCTGAGATCAAGAGAGTTGGACACTCAACCAATTGAGCCACTCAGGTGCCCCTTAATCAGTCAATTTAAAACAGAGCAAGGGGCGTGCTGAATTGGGGCCTAGCTGTGAAGGTGGCCAAAGCTAGGAGTGCGTGCCCTCCACCCGGGGGGCCTCCTCACCAGGGAGCCCTCCAGGTTGAAGGTCTGAGCGTTCTGGCACAGCAGCATGACGTCCTTCTCCAGGTCATTGAGGCTGCGGTACTTGTGGTTGCGGATGCGCTCCTGTGGGCGGTGGGAAAAGCAGCCTTACCTTGGGAATCTGCCTTGTGCCTGGGGACCCTGGGGCCGGGAGGCCCTCCGCCTAACAAGGTCATGGCCCTGTCTTCTGGGCACCTCTATACAGACTCGGAAGCCCAGGCCCACTGAACACAGAGCTGTACTTCTGAAGCCTAGGTCATGGGTAACCTTGAAGGAGCCCCGAACACACTGCCCACCAACACACCCTTAGGACCCTCTCCCACAAACTGGGCTGCTGGGGCTCTTGAGGCCACGAGGAATCCCACGAGCCTGTGACTGGGCCCCTGGTCAGAGAGCCCAGGCTCTGCCCGGTCTGCACCGTGGCCATCTGTCCCATACACCCCAGTAGCGCCCAGATGCGGAAGGTACTGGGTCAGATTCCCCAAACACTGATGTGGGCACACTTCTGCGGAGAACCCCCACTTCCCACACCCTATGCCAGGCTTACCTTTATCTTCTTGAAGTCCACAGGCTTGCGGATGAGCTCGTAATACTCGGGCAGCTCCTTGCGGGAGGGCAGCTGGATGAACACCTCGCTGAGCTGACGTCCACTACTACTGCAAGGCGGGACACAGTGGGCGTCACTCCCAGGCCCCGCCTGCTGGGGGAGCCCCCGCTTGGCCGCCAGCCATTGTTTGAGGAATGAGAAATTCGAAGCGCTCATACATGTATTGTCTTCCATACGTGTACTGTCTTGTGAGTTCTAGAACATTCTTGAGAGGGGCCAGGGATGCATTTGAATCCAGACTCTGCCCTCCCCCAATCACCCCCGGCTCTCGGAGGGAACATCACCAGAGGCTATGCAGCCAGAGCCTCAGAACTTGAAGGAGGCAGAATCACGATTATAGTTATGTACGACGCAAAAATCAGTTGGCTTATGTCGGGAGCAGTAAGCGCCGGTTCTCAGAGAGAGACCACTTTTTGCAAGTTTTGCAAGCATGTCTCTCACAGGCAGCACTTAGGAGCCGTGAACTTCAGAGAATTTGGCAAAGACCGGTGGAGGAGAGATGCCCCCTGGAAAGACCCTAACGGAAGACCTGAGCGGTTTTCTAGTCCTTGCCATTGGGAAAGCACTGGTTTTCCACAAGGAAGCAGAGGAAAGACGCACTGGGAGCAGCCCTGAGACGTGGCGGGGTCCCAGGTGCTGTCTCCTGGGCCTCACTATGAGAGGAGCCGTGCACTTGGCCACCAGGCTGTGCCACACCCAGGCCTGGCTCTGTCTGGGAACAGGAGCTCAGAGGGAACATCACTCCTGGGCCTGCCTGAGGAGGGAGGGCGCAGGCGCTTCAAGGACTGGCAGACGGGAGAAGACGAACTCTTATGAGCTCGGTCTCCCTTTCTGGTCTGTCAGCCTGGAGACACGGACCCTGCCCTGGGGGATCCGGGGAGCCGGTGAGCTGGTCGAGGCCCTGCTCCGAGGCTTGCCTACGGGTGGCCTGCCCTCCCTTATCTGTGACCAGCTGGACCCAATACAGGGCAGGATGTGGCTGAAAATGCAACCTGGAAGGAAGGGGGAGGCTGGCACTCCCTGAGCGCGGGCACCCCCACTTGGCACTGGGATGAAAGATTGGAAGGCAGGGGCCCAAGGCAGGCTGTGTGTGGGCAGGGCTTGCTGGGAACTTGTGTGTTAAGTGTCCAGCCCAGAGCAAGGACTGAATGGTGATGGCTGTCTAAAGCCGGCAAGGTGCAGAGACCAGATTCCAGCTCCTGTCTGTACGGCCTGTAGCTCAGACGACCCCAGCTGCCCTGTGATGCACAGAAACCCTGAATGAGCAAAGTTTCTGGGATCCCGGCCAGGAGAAGCCTCGGGGAGGCAGTCCTGGCAAAGCTGCTCCTTAATGCAGTCGTGATGTTGGGAGCACCCGGCAGTAAACCCTGACGTGCCCTCCCTGGAGTAGCAGGCTTCCCTTCTCTCCGGGAACAGGCTGGTGCGTGGCTTGGCCACAGACACCCAGAGCTTGTTTACGTAACTCTGAAAACAAGAACCGGTATCCGAAGGCAGCGGACGCTCGACCCGGGAGAGGCAGACCTGAGCCGCAACCCACCACTCACCCACCTGCACGCGTCGTGGTGTCCCCCTAACCTTCTCAGAGCTCCCCTTTCTCATCCCGACAGCACTATCCTTATACTCTTGACCATGACGACGCACAGCGGCAGCCACAGCTTCTACTCTGATAGAGGACACGCACCCGCAGCCGTAAAGTAGCAGAGGTTTCCCCGCACAGGGTCTCCCTTGCTCAGTGAGATGAACTCTGTTTTCTCCACTATTTCACTTTCTAGAAGTGCCAGTTGACCCACTACATTCATTCTGCTGCTCACTGATGGGTGTGGAGAGTGTGCCGTGCATGGCGCTAAGGCTGGGCTCTCTAGGCCACACGCCCGCCCCGTGCTCATCTGTGGCATCTGTGAAGGTGGCTGGGCCTTGGGACGTGCATGGCCTTCGAGGGAGCTCACGAAGTAGGACTCTAGTGCTGGAATACAGTGGAAAGTTTTGTAGTAAAACCCTCTCACTTCCATCGGGCAAAGAAATTGGTGGAGACAGGAAAGAACGGGGAGCAACGGGGCGCCTCTTACAAACCTTCGGAATGAGGGTGTCACTGAGGAATAAAGGCCTGCATGGCCACCCTGTGCGTGACGTTTCTCTGGTGCAATGAGCTCGGGAGTGCAGATGGCCTGGAACTGGGTGCGCATGATGGACGGACAGGGCCCCAGGACGATGGGGGACTTTTAAGGCTTCCTCTCTCAGAGAGCAAATCCACTGTCATAACATTTTAGTTGCCAAAGTGTGGAGATGTCATTTTTAATCCTTAGAAGTCCTCTGGAGACCCCCACCCCACCACCAGGCAGCGCTGCGGCGGGCTCGGGGCCAAGAACCTTCCAGCCCTCCTCCCCTCTGTGTTAGAGGTGGACAAGTCACAGCTGTCTACCTCACTGGGAATGAAACCCAAAGTCCCGGCAGTGGCAGCCTGGCCCTCCAGGCCTCTGACCTCAGCATCCCTCTCTCCCACCTCCTCAGAATCATCAAAGCCACCGCTCCCCAGGAAGCCTAGCTGCAGCCCTCACGTCACCTCAGAGCAAATGTCCACTCCCCCCAAGGTTCTGTGGCCCCCCCAACCCCCTTACAGATGGTAACAAAAAAGAATGACTGAGATATAAGATCCTTAGGGCTCAGATCCCCAAGGTGCGCCGGGCTCCTGAGAGCCCACCTGAACTCTGGGACCTGGGTGGGCTCGGCCTCTTCTTGAACTTGATGTTATGGGGTCCCACGCAGTCAGCTCCCAGGTCTGGCCGCCTCCCTCATCGCTGTGAGATCTGTCTCGGGCATCTCAGGAGCCGCCTCATGCCCCGTGGTGGGCACCTGCCACACAGTCTGCTTGCCCACCTGCTTGGACTGGCACCTGGGTTGGGTATCCGGAAGCACGTGGCTGCAGACACTCACGTCCAAGCGCCCAGCTTGCACGTCTTCTGGGCACACACCGGCAGGTGGAGAGCTGGAGAGCAGGGCAGGGGCGCTCAGCGTCAGTGGACACCGAGCCCCCGCTCACTGCGCCCACGGTGGCATTCCTGGGCGGTGTGGCTATTCTACATGCTGGCTGCGAACTGCTGCCTCCGTGCGCTTTTAACTCACGATTCCTTGGTGAGCAGCGAAACCAGGCACCGTTTCATAGGTGGAATAGTCCCCCGACGATCTCTTTCCGGCAGCACCTGTTCACGTCTTTATCCTCCAGAGAGCCCTTTCTGCAAACCCCTTTTCCAGTCCACGTCGTGTCTTCTTACTCTCTTGATGGTGTCTTTTGATGAACAGATCTTAGTTTTAATCAAATTCCAATTTATCAATACTTCCTTTTCTACTTGGTGTTTCTCCTGTCCTGTCACAGAGGTACTGCATTTTGTTCTAGAAATGTTGACAATTCAACCTCTTTATGTTATTAGCTATGAAGCCAGTTACCCGGATCAGTGTCACTTCTCCCAACCAAATCCCATGTGTCTGAGTCCTCGCTAGACCAGAACGCAAGCCATGAGGGTAGAGACCTAGCCTGTGTTATTTCCCGCTCTATCTCTGGCACCGGAACAAAGCCTGGTACAGAGAAGGTGCTCAATAAACATTTTCTGAATGAAGAACCAACAGCTCAGGGTCTCAGGGTCATGGAGCAGGGTTCAAACTTGGGTGTCATAAAGGTCATCTCCGAACAAGGGTGCCTCACTGCCCCGACCCCATGCCATATGGTCATTTATATACCACCCCGTTCCAGAAAGGATTGGCAGCAACTACCAGGAACCCCCCCCCCCCCCCCGCCGCCCTGAGAAGGCACTGCTGTGTGCCCCTGTCAACCTCCTGTCTTATGAGACTTGCCCTGAAGAAGCTTCTGCAGGCAGAGCGATCTGGGAGTGAAGGAGCTTGGGAAAACCCTGAGGCTGTGAGGACCAGACCTCCCTTCAGACATAAGCCTGGGCTCCCACCTGGTTTGGCAATAAGAGCGACAGCAGCCTCTGCCACCGATGTGTGTTGCAAGAAGGAGGACGCGACAAGGATGCTATTCTCGTGCCTCCAGACACCAGCTCCCAGAGCAGGGATTTCCTTCTACCTCGTTCACTGCCCCGCCCCCATTACTGCAGGACACGAGACATGATCGGGGCCCCTTGCCCAAAGCCCCCAGTTCCTCCCAAGTCTAGGCTAGTGGGTGCTTCTCGCTGAATGAGGCTTGGCAACAAGTCTAACTCTCTAACTCTGCTGGGACAGGGCCTGGTCTAGTTTTACACGCCCTTCTAGGATCCTGAAGAGCCCTGATAAGGATCTTTATTATTCGACCCGTCCAGATGGCCTCTGCCTCCCTATGGCAGTGGGCCCTCCCCTACGCCAACTCAGGGTTCTGGTGGCGCTGCCCAACACTGAGTCCCAACCTCTCCCCCAAGGCTTGGGCGGGATCAAGTGCTGTACCTCACCCATCTGGTCTTGGTGATGGGTCAAGGCAAAGCCCTGGGACACAAGCTAGCCAGTCAGAGCCCTCCCTGTGACTTTCTATCAGGAGTTGAGGAAGCAGAGGTTGCTTTCCTCTTGGGGTGTGAAGCCTTCAGGATGGAAGCCCAGAGCTGTGGCAGCCACAGGTCACTATACGGGGTAAGGGGAGAGGTGGTGGACAGCTCTGGGTCCCGAAAGCTAGTCTTTGCTAACTCCTCCATGGTCTTCCAGCCAAAGGAATCCCTAGACATGAAGGTCTCAGAACTAGCTTCCTGACACACAGAGCCTAAAAGTCCAAATGTCCCTTCACTGTGTCCTTAAAATAAAATTACAACATGCGGAGAAAGAACAAAGAGAATCAGAATAGACCAAGAGGCCCCTGAATGGGACAGAACCACGAACTCTCTGCATCAAAGAGGTCATCCATCCATCTCCCTTTCCAACAGATGGAGAAACCAGAGAGGCAATGAGAGCTGGTGGCAGGCAGGGCTTGCGCACAGGTCACCCCCCATGACTAAGTCAGGGATCTCTCCCACTCATTCCCATATGCTGCTCTAAATCAAGGGTCAGCAAACTTTTTCTGTAAACCACCAGTGTAAATCTTTCAGGCTTTGTGGGCCATCTCATCTCTGTCACGACTATTCAACTCTGCCATTCTTGCACTCAAGTGGCCATAGACAAGATGCAGAAAAATGAGCTTTGGCTGTGTTCCCATAAAACTTATTCTATGAACAATGAAATGTGAATTTTCTATAATTTCATGTCATGGAATATTATTATTCTTTTGATTTTTCTAAAATCCTCTAAAAAAACCATTCTTAATTCACAGGTGATACATACACAGATGGTGGGCCAGATTTATTTTTTTGCGGGTTTGTTGACCACTGGTGGGAATCTTAAAAACAACAGAGAAATAGGTCTGTCCATATCAGACAACATACTGCCTGGTGTCCTCACCTTCTTATCCTCTGACCAGTGCAGACATTGCAAGCAGATCAGAGCACTATCCCTTTGCCCTCAGGCAGGCACAAGCAATCAAGTGAAGATGGTAAGACAGACCCTGCTAGTCAAGTATGGAGGTGGTCCCAAACTGCCAGGAAGGACTCCTTCTCTGTCCCTCATCCCTGCTCTCCTTCCTAGAGTCCAGTTCAGTCCATCTTCCCATGACATCGCTCAATGACATCTTCGAGCCCTGGGACCATGTTCTCGCTCTTTTTTAATTGCAAACTTTTTTTTTAAAGATTTTATCCATTTATTTGACAGAGAGAGAGAAAGCACAAGTAGGCAGAGAGGCAGGCAGAGGGAGAGGGAGAAGCAGGCTCTCCGCTGAGCCAGGGAGCCCGATGCAGGGCTTCCTGAGCCAAAGGCAGCCGCTTAACCGACTGAGTCACCCAGGCGCTCCCACGTTCTCTTTTGACCCTTGATCAGCGAACTGAACCTGCAAGGTCCTGGATATGAATAGCTCAGCAGTTTCAAAACTGATTTAGCTTAAGACTGTCTGAAACAGAATCTCAGGAGATTTTCCATAAACAAAACTTCAAAGTGAAATAACAAAACCTATTCATTTACTTCATTAGCATACAATTACTTTCTAGGTTCAATTTTTTGACGTGTTACAAAATCAAGGATAACTTGAGCATTAGATATGTGAGAAATCTGATCCATTTAGTTACAAATTCTTTATGAAGAGCCTGCACCTGCCGAAAGGGCAATCTCAGCTGGACTTACGGCTTTGTGGTATAGAAACAATTCTGACTCCTGCACAAGGGAAAGGAAAGGACGTTCACCAGTGAGCCCGCTGAGAATAATGGTCTGTAGGTTCCTGGCCTTGTGCTCTCAGCACTCTCCCAGTAGAGAGGTGTGAGGAAGCTTTATTTCAGGGTGTGTGTGCCAAGGCCAAGACTGGCTGCAGGTCATGATGCTGGTTAAGTGTCTAATGAGATCGAAGTTTCAAATGAGGCAAGGACACATCTTGGGGGGGGGGAATGTGTTTCTTAATACAATTTTAACACTTCGATCCAAATGTCATTATAAAGAAACCCTGATTCTGTGCAAAAGCTTTTTATCTTGATGAAGTCCCAATAGTTCATTTTTGCTTTTGCTTCCCTTGCCTCTGGGATAACTGAACTCCACCTTTGAAACTAATGGTACACTATGTTAATTAAAAAAAAAAAAGTAAAGAAACAAGTAAGCCGAGTGGGGGAAGCACTTGGATTTGACATTTCATTTTGGAGGCGAGACCCTGAGCTTTGAAAAAAGATGCATGACCCGGGATTACACAGAAAGCAGCAGCTGGATCATAATCCAGGCAGGCTCCTAGCTGCAGTCGCCCACTCTGCGGCTTCCCCGAGCAGACCCTGAGTGTCACAAGCGCCGGCTTGCACCACGCTCCGCAGCGGCCGGAGCTCAGAAGACATCAGCTGTGGGTGATGAGGACAAAGAGCAGGAAGGCCAGGACCTGTTCATGGCATGCAAAGAACATTTCTCAGCACGAGAGAGAGGGTGAAAACGAGAGGCAAAGCCAGCCCAGCTCCCCTGGGAGCTGCGGCCAGAGGCGCGTGGAGCTGGTCATGCAAGTGTAGGGGGGCCTGAGGCCACCTTCTGCAGGGCTGGGTGACCCGGGCCTTGAGAAGCGTGCTTCCTGGCTGAAATGAGTCAGGATTCGCAGCCCGCTGGTACTCCCGGGAGCGCCTAGAGTGCTGAGCAGCTCTACAGCAGCGGAGGCCACAAAGCCCCTTCTGAAATGGAAGAGACCTCTGGATGCCCACGCTGGAACCCAGGGTGCTGGGGGTCCTCTGGTCCATCTGGAACTGACAGACCCACCTCCATACCTTCCTGAGACCCTCATACCCACTCTTCCTTCCCTCCTAACTTCTAAGCTTGGTTAACTTACATCTTTAATCAG